GGGGGGGGTTGTCCCCCCCCCCCCCCCCCCCCCCCCCCATCTCCATCCTCCTGCCGCCTCTTCTTTTCAAAGAGACTCTCAAGGAAGACAAGCCAGGAGTAGGCTATGTAAGCCACAGGCTGTAAGCAAGCACTGCGGTTTGTCAGTTGTGCTCTGTCAATTTTTTTTAACTAATCAATTTCAAATATACAAGGATTTTTATTATTGTCTTAAATGAAATACTTTAAATTCTTCAGCAAACAGAGAAATGTTTTAATTTGTGAAGGTGTTTTGCTTTCCAAAAGGACTCCTGGGGTGAAAAAAAGATTGCCTTGGTAGATGCAGCTGTGTATAGCTGCATAAACCAGTGAGTGAGAGTGTGTGTGTGTGTGCGCGCACGTGTGTGTGCTTCCCCCCACCGTCCCCCTCCGTGGTCTTGTACTGGATGAGCTAATAACAATCCTAGGCTCAGAAGGAAGGAAGCTTGTCACATTCTTTAAGTAGTGTCTTGGACTGATATTTTTCTTTGTCCACAGCTGGCACATTTAAGATTTCCCCAAATTTCCCATCAGTGTTTCAGTACATCTAATCAGTGATTTGCATTATTGGTTTACTGTATTATTTTGGTTGGAAAAATCTCTCTTGTATTATTGGTGGAAAGCTACATCTCCTGTAACTGTAACCTCAAATTTTATTAGCAACTAGAAACAAGATTAGGTACTTTAAAGCATGCTGGAATATAAGTGAGAATACTCACTTTAAACCTGAGGTTAAACTACTTTTTAAGCCCACCAAAACTCCAAGAATTAAAAATTATTTGAAAATAAGCTTTTTTTTTTTTTTAAAGGGGCTTTTTCTGTTTTGCAAACACGAGCTGAATTTTTCTAGTTTGAATCTTTTGTCAGGGTGACTTAATTTATTTCTTGTTCTTCTGAAAATATTACTGTGTCTGCAGAAGTCATTAAAACAAAGTGCTTCTGTAACTTCCAGGTAACTTGCAGTGAAAACAGATTATCAGTGCTTCTGTTATTTCCCACAAAAATTGGAGTTCACATGCATTTGCATATATTTTTATGTCCATTTAAAAACTACAGATGATTCATCAGGAATCTTTTTTTTAAAAAAAAAAAAGAAAGAGAAATCTATACAATAATCACTATTAAGTAACTTTGGAAGTAGAGTTGCCTACCCTGGGATAAATGGTGTACAGAAATGAAACTGAATTAAATTTAACATCTTTGTAAGTCCTGGAATCAGGCTTCTGTCTATTTCTAGAATTGCTATCTAAATAGCTGAACGAATATCTTTGAAGAGGTCTGTCTTCATCTTGGGTACTGACCAACTGCATGTTACCCCATTTTTCCCTATTGTAAAACCAAGGGAAATTGATTAGTGCTCGACATGGATGCATGCAAATAGCCAATGTATTTCTGTGGCAAAAACGTGGAAGTAGAATCAATGCCCATAAAATGCATTACTTGGGTGGGGAGTATTGCAGAAGTTTTCATTTCAGGCATTTAGTTGGTCAAGTAGAAGTTAAATTACAAAGACTCGCCCAAACTGTTTTCCCATCAACAAATTTTTGTTAAAAAGCAACTGTATAACTTGTAGTGTAAATTGATATTTTGGAACCAGAAAAAATTAAAGGAGTTTTTTAACAGAGAATTAATCCCATTAGAAGTAAATAACACTGAGGGAGACCTTCAAAAAGCTGGAAAACATACTCTGTATACTATGGATCAGAATCTTACTCGCATCAGAAAGCTTGTATTGGCTAGGCTTTATAAGCCTGTTATTTTAGTTTGCATATAAAATTCATTCTCAGTATTTAAATAGCATTGTGATGTGGCTAGGTCTTCTATTCAGTACTGTTAGGGGGTCTGACTTTGATTTTGTTTATAGCAGATAGAATAATACTGTTCATTTCAGTAGACTTGACTTCTGATCTCTCCTAGAGATAAGGAGAATCTGAATGGAGGCGTTAGTATTCTGTGCTATGGCTTGTTCCTGCGCTAATAATTTGTAGTGTGACTCTTCTGTAAGTTATCAGAGGAGAAGCGATGAGAATTACGTGTATACTTAACCAGGAAACTGCTAACCACCTACAGTTGAGACAAGCAGCAGAGAAGAGTTGAGCAGCTTCCCATGTTTAGACTGGGTCCTTCTTTATGTGAACACCAGCAAGACCCACACATACATGTGACCAGAATGCCATAACTGTTAATTCTTGCTTACCGTATCTGGAAACCAGAGTGAGAACTGGATTGATACCTGTCTTGGACTAGGGCATGTAGTGATGATCTCTTTCCCCCTACCCCCAACACCTGTTGATAGAATAGGACTTTTCCGTTAAAAGATCCCTGATAAGCAGAAACTGAAGAGTTCCCAAACTTCTGTATTGCCGTCATAGAACTGTACTGTATCATATTGGCAATGGCAGCTCCCTGGCCTTGTGTATGCGAAGAAGGGAGACTTCACAAGAAAAAAGAAAAGAATGTCTGCCTGGAAGACAGTAGTACTAACAATATTCAGTGTCTGAACGGTTACTTACCCCTCTTGGAGTAAAGGAAGTGGCAAGGAATGCCAGTTGGATAGCTGTTTTGTTTTTAAATTGTATCATAGTTTAACCCGTTACAGTATAACTACTTGCAGAGAAAAGAGAAATATTCTTACTCCTCTGCTTAAGGTAAATGTGTTAAAACTAGATGTTCAACACTTGTATCATCACAGAATGAAATTTATTAAAGACCGCTGTTTTTTTAAAACCGGTCTGACTGTGTATCCTTTAAGGTGATGCTATGTATTATTACTCTTGCTAAGACTATAAGATGAGTTCCAGTCTCTGTGTGGAAGGCTGTGACCATACTATATGTGTTTCTATATGTCAGCTCTTTAAAAGGTCATCTAAGTAGCCAATAGTGTTCTCTCTCTTATTTACATAAAACTTATGTCTTAGAAAGTAGATGCCTTTATTCTTGAACCTTTCTATGAACACTTAATTTAAGCAAGTGATGCAAGGGTTGGGGGCAGATGGGAAAATACATCTGTCTAATGGTGCCAAAGAAAACATATTTATTTTGACTCAAGAGTATGTTCATAGTCTTGGAAGTAAGAGGAAAAACTGTATTAATATTATCATATTGCCTGTACTGTGCCTGTGGAAGGAATCACATTACGTCAAGCAAATCTTGTAATGGTAAGGCATGTCATGGGAAAATTTCACATAGAAATCCCAATCGTAAGTTGCCACTGACAAAAGGGCATCCCATTTACGAAAGAAAGCAAGAAACAAGTCAGAGAAAGCCTGAGAAGCAAAATATTTTCACGGTGACATTTAGCATGAAGTAAAACAAACACTTTCTCAGGGCAGTTTTTCAACTTTTTTTTTTTCTTTTTACAGTGGATGGAGCTGAGGTTTAACACGCTGGCAAAATGCCCACACTGCAAAAAAATGTAAGTTTTCTGAGAACAAGATTACATAAATTAACTTTTAAATATGTTGCCAATGTTTCTTCTGTAGAAGTCTTTGGAGTGAGATGTCTGCCATGTGTATTATTTTGCCACGTTCACCTGAATTTCAAGACTAAAGAGCATGTTATGTGCGCATGAATTCTCCCCTCAGTATGCACAGATCAGTAACTTTGACAAATCAAACCTGCATTTAGTAAAATGCTCTGATTGAATTGTCAGAGGCAAAAGTAAGCTTCTAAATTGATAGAACTGAGTTGCTAAAATTAACAACTAGGAATTTTTTTAGGTCCCTGAAATTTTACCACTTCATGCAGTAAATCAGCTGTCATGTTTGAATGCAGAGCTTGATTTGTCCTGATCTGAAAAAAGGAAAGGAAATCTTTTCTTAATTTGAAAGAGGTTTCATTCATTTCATAAAGTCAGCTAATTTGTGTTAGGCATCATAGTGCATTAGCTTGTTTAATGTTTGTGAATTATTATGGTATACTTTGTCTATGCATTTGACGTTACTTCACCAAGGGAGAGATGTCACTTACCTCAAAGAGAATTAAAAGTAGAATATCAGACTTGTAAGAGTGGGATTTGTGTGTGTGTTTAGTATTAATAGCATTAAAGGCTATACTCCAAACATACCTTAATTTTATATGGAATCTCAACTACAGGATGTGAAATAGGACTTACTTGTCCTGCTGGTTTATTTAAAGAAAGTGAAAGTGATTGAAATATGTTACTGAAGTATTTGATAAAGAAGTCAGTCTGGTGATGCTTTTAACCTCAGGAGTGTAAATGTGTATGGAGGTGAATGTCCCTGTGTGTGGACGTGTTCTAGTTTGCTTAGATCAAATAAGCTCAGGATCTTGATGAGATGTTGCTTTACAGGGTGCGGTCAGTAACTGCATTCAGGGTGTTTTTTTTATTTTTCCCTTTTCAGCTTTTTTTAACTAATTGCAATTTTGGTTTTTATATTTAACACTTGATAGCTGACCTCAGTTCATCCCTTCTACTTGAATCTCCTTAAGTACAAAATGATCTGCAGCTTAACGAACCAACCAAACAAAAACAAACAATAATCCAAGAGTCATACCGTGCGATCTCTTGGCTGTCTTTTCTTGATCTATGTAAGTAGTATTTTAATCCACCTGGAGTCAAAGGACCTTTCAGCATTTTTCTTCGAAGTGCAAAGCACATCTATAGCATACTGTGTGTACATAATAAAACCGGAACATCTCTGCAGTATAATTTGTGTAAATTACGACTTAACTGGCAAGTGAAAGAGTTGCAGAATACAAAGCAAATCCTAACAAATAGGCACTTTTGTCCTTGGGCTTGGGACGCAAATTATTGAACATTGAAATTTAGCTTTGAATGGGTGGTTTGATGACTTCCTGTCCTGCATTTGAGATGTGACAGTCAGGAGTTCTGCACTTCTGGCAGCATAAACACTTCTTATGCATGCATCTAGGGCACGGTGTAGGTGAAGCAGAACTCTGACTCATGATGATTGAATAAACAATTGTAGTGACCCATTGCTTTTTTTCAGCCCTTTTCCAGAGGTCACTGTACCTGTAGTCAGAAGAGCATGTGTATAGTTCTGTTTCAGTAAATTAACACACAAGTTTCTTCATTAGTAGCTGAGCAGTCAGATGTGAAAACATTCGTTCCGTCTGTTGAATCAGCTGAAGATTGTGTCTGAAAAAAGGATAGAGTAGACTGAGGCAAGAGGCACCTTAAATCATGACAACACTAGATTTTTTCAGGAAGGCATTTGAGACTTCTAGATACCAAAATCCTTTTCAACATTTTTCTCTTAAAAACTTTGTTTTTAAAATTGCTCATGAGCCTACAGATAAAATCTTAGTCTCTTCTTTCAGGATGGAACACTCAATGGTGTGCACTGAGTTTGAGTTTTGTAGACCTACCTGAATATGCATGTGTAAACAATCTCTTATGCATTCTGCAATAAATCTCTGCACACAGGCTATTTGCATTCACCAAGTAGGTGGTCACAAACTAGGTCTTAATATGAAGAATGTATCCTATGAAATTGCAGGGGGGAAGCTAGGATTTATTATACCCAGCAGTCAAAAATGAAACAGTAATAATGTTCTGAGAAAATAAAGTGATCATGCCTCAGAATATATAAATTAAACAAAAGAACCTTTCATATCTGGATGTTGGGTGAAACACTATTTCAGTGTGTAAACTCAGTACTGAGTAAACTCAGTTTCTTATTTGTTTTTTAATTCTGTCTACCTGCCACCAGTGTGGTCACAAATGTAATATTTTTTAATTTTTTCACGAGTCATTTGGGCAAAACCACTTGTTAAGAAACAGGAAATGATTTGTGATGCACAGAATAAATTCACTTATTCTGTAAATGTCCAGCTCTCTTTGGAAATGGCCTACAAGCCTGCTCATGCCACTATATTTAAGGTGTTTATGACGGCTCTACAATTTGTATTGATTCTGCCTGACATAGACAGTTAGTTGCATGTTATCTGCTGCATCAGAACAACAAATGCAGTTAAGGAGTTAAGTTGTTGCAAAATAGTTGTATTCGGTAGTGTAGAGGATGACCTGGGAAGGGGGGGAACTGTTTTCACTGTTCTATTATTTTTGTGTGTTTCAAATACAAAATCTCAGATGTTTATCAGCCTGATGCCAAAAATGTGGCAGTTTAGAGAAGGCCTCTGGGATCTTTCTCTTCTTGCCTAATGATGGAGAAAGGATATTTGCTGGTTTTTGTCTGCTGCTGTCTTTCTTAAGTTGTATATTAAATCCCGCCCTCCCCCCTCTCCACCCCCAACATTGTACTTACTCTTTTTAAGGTCTGGCATGATGATGAAGACCCATAATTAATTTTTAACATTTTTGCATCCTAATGTCTATAGTACTCTTTTATAATTGCTACCTCAAACTACATTGACTTTGGTATCTTTTATAACTTGTGCTGCTGCTGCCCAAAGGTCTTGCAGGTGCCTTTGTTTCCTTAGCAGCAGCTCAGGAGGGGGGGGGAAAAAAAAAAAAAAAACTGCCTTCCAACTGGCTTTGTCATAAGTTCATTCTAATTAATCAAAAAATGAAAACAATATCTTCTGATGTCTCCTTCCCCCCTCCTCCCCTCAGCCTTTTTTATTTGATAGGAGGGGGCAGAGCTTGAGGGAAATATGAGTGGAAAATGAACATGGCAGTTCTAGTGTTATGGTTGCAAAAACAAGGTCATGAATTGGACAACTCCAGAAGTAAAGATCTCTTTCCTAAAAATGAACTGCATCTCCATGTGAAATATGCAGTGCAATAAACTTAATGCATATTTTAGGTGAATTAGATATGACGCTTCTACCAGCTTGTTGGCTGGTTAATGCTTATTTTATTGTGGAGTTGAATACTTGAAAATTAACACACTGAGAACATAGCTAGGAAACTTTGTAAGGGGAGGAGCCTTAGTTCAGTTTGGCAAGCTCAGTTCACTTTAATTGACGTTTTGGAAGCTGTCTCACCCCTTTCCCTTTCTTATACAACTCCTGATTTGTTTCCCTCGTGCTACTTGGAATGAGATATTTCCCATCTTCTAGAATGGCCATAGAAGTATTAAGGGTGGCTTTTGGGGAACCAAAACTATTTTCGCTTGTGTAGTAGGTCAGGTTGTGTGTCAATGGTAAGATACCATTATTTCCCCAGTTAGGAATTCCCGTCCCCCATCCACTACCCACAGCAGGTAGGCTTTCAGTACGAAGTAACTTTTCCTCGTAAATTAATGAGCAGAACAGTTCTATGACTTTTTCTTTTCTTTTGAAAACATATAGCAGATGGTGTGTTATTGGTCACCATAGTCCTCACCTTGCAAGATGAAGCTCAACTTGTGCATATTAGCTTGAGGACTACTTCTTTTCTTGAAGCATTTTAGAAATTTCTTGTAAAGAAATAATACTGTAGTAAAGCTGCTTAAGTCAATCTGTCTGAAGGCTTTCTAAGAGGAACGTTTAAAAAAAAAAAAATTCTAGTCACATGCTAAGCATATGAGGCCTTGCTATGTGGCTAATTAACTGGAGCTAGAAACCTGGTCAGTCATATGACAGATGAATAGCTCAGCATTGCTTTCTTTAATGTGTTTATCTCAAATATGTTGAACTGTCATGAGGGGTAGATGGCTTTTCCTTGCATCTTTGAACACAAAGTACAAGCATCCCAGTATTTCTAAAGGCATGTTGATCTTCCAGAACGAGAGGAGGTACTTTACTGATGACAGCATGCTTCAGGAGGCTTCAAAACCACCTCTAGGAGAGCAGCACCTCTACTTCTCTGGCCCTTTCAGTTGACCTACGCATTCACTGTCTGTCAGTGGAATTAAATCATGTTTTATTTTCCTCACCAGTGTAGGTGATTAAAAGACGTGATTAAAACTCCTGACTTGAGATAGATTTGCCAAACGATACCGAGCTCCTAGAATAAATTTCTAGTGTGAAGAATCTAACCTCTTAATAAAATTTTGCATTCAGTTTGTCTGAAGGACTGTAGTAGCCTGTTTAATCTGGCATGGAGAGAGATAGTGGTCTGCCTTGGGGAGTTTAGAGAGGTGACAGAACTTCTGAGGGATTTATTTACCTTGGCTGTCAGCAGACTTGTGAAGTTAATTCAACTTGTGGTAGAGCTCTGAAAGAAAATAGGAAAGTAAAAAGAACTTGTCACATCTTTTGAAGCTATTAAAAGTGACTTAAATGTTTCTAAAGAGTTTTAGTCTTCAGAAGCATGATGAGCATGAAAGATGTTCATGTTTCTGACTAAGGATTTGGGGGGGGGGGTTAATATCTACAAGAAATTGGGCAGAGTATGGCCAATCAGTGGTTTTGAATTACTTATTCCAGGAAATAGATTGTGCAGGTGATTGCTATGACATTGACCTATGGTAGAACTGATTTCCAGTTATTTAGATGCTATGAATATATTGTGAAACACTCTTTAGTCTTCTAATAAGTTATGTTGAAGTTGCAGCTAAATCTGTAGGTCTAGCATTCCTTTCTTTGCAGATGTCTAGATTTTTAGGTACTAGAATTTTTGTTAATCTTCATCTATAGTCCCCTTTTAAACAAATGTGTGAACTGTCTTTTACTTTCTATTTGATATAATTGTAGACTTTTCCTACTACTGTACAAACTTAAGATGATACAAGTGAATTCTCATTCTGTTTTTTTCCACTTAGACTGAATAGATTTTTTATCTAAATGCTTATTATTTTCTTGCAGTTCATCTGTTGGAAGCGCATTGCCACGGAGACGATGCTGCGCATACATTACAATTGGAATGATATGCATCTTCATTGGAGTTGGATTAACTGTGAGTGATGTACTGTGATGTACTTGCAGCTATGCAGGGGGTGTGCATGTATGAAGGAGTTACCTGAATTACCATCTCTTCTTTCCCCAGCATTTGAGCAAAGTCTCTGAAGTTTGTATTTTTTTTTCCTTCTCTATTAAAACCATAGATTTAATCATCACAGTTAACTTAAAAACAAAAAAAAAACAAAAAAAAAACATTTTGTTTTGGAAAAATGTTCTGGCACTTTGAGATTCTCATTTTCCTGATATTAAATCTGACTCTTTATCTCTTAAACTTCAGTTTTATGTTAACTTTGTTTTAGAAATACCAGAAGATCTTGCTCTTGCTAGGGCTATCAAAACTTTTAGATTTCCAGAAATCTAAAATTCCTGTACAGCCAGGAAAATAGGTCTTGCTCTCCTCTGGGGAGTGGGATTCCAAAGAGTTAAAAATATGGATATAGCTTTACAATTTGTACAAGCTATAACGAGTAAAACCAGGTAATACACTGTTTACAAATAAAAAGCTCACACTGCGTTAGCCTATTATTCAATGAACTATCTGGATTTCTTTCCACTTGAAGAAGCTGGTACTGGTCACTAGAACTAACTTTTTACCCTGCAGTTCCAAAACCAGATAAGGGGAAATATGTTCATATGTGTGATTTGCACTATAGTTAAACATAAAAATTATGCAGGCTGTTGTACAAACTTAAATGAATTACGAAGGATTTTTCAATTTTCCTAATAGAAACAACTTCTGGCTCTCACTTTTTTTGTTGTTTTTGGTTGGTTGGTATTTTTTGTTTTAAACACCCATTTAATGAGTTTGGAAATAATGAAAATATTTTTTCCTGTAAGGTGTTGGAGCAGGTTGCCCAGGACTTGACTGGACAAAACCCTGAGCCACCTGGTCTGACCTCAAAGCTGACTCTGTTTTGATTAGGTGGTTGGACTAGAAACCTCTTGATGGCCCTTCAAAGCTCAATTATCCTTGTGGTTGTTTGAAATTAAGCTAATAACATATCTGATTTATCTTTATTGGGGTGAAGACAGCACTGAAGTGCTTGTTATTAATAAAATTTGCTCTTCTCTGAAGAGCAGGTGCTGCTGTATATTTGACTTTTTTCTTTTTCTTTTTTTAGGTTGGTACGCAAGATTTCGCCAGGCGATTTCATGCTACATATGTTTCTTGGGCTATCGCTTATCTCTTAGGTTTAATCTGCCTCATTCGAGCCTGCTACTGGGGAGCCATAAAAGTCAGTTATCCAGAGCACAGTTTTGCATAGAGAAATTGGTCAATTATAGCAGATGAACATCTAGTAATTCTGGATACTACATCTTGGACGCTTTTAAAACCTTTCCTGTAAGGATTCCATTCTGTTCAAAGTAGTTTTAAGAGTGGGGGTCTATAAGAACAAATGTTCATTGCACTACATAATATGCAAATAGTTTGTTTTGCTGCTAGATTCCCTAGCTCTCAATACTAAAGCTTTGTTTACATGTTCATAACTCTGTCTTTATAGGTGTTGAATTTCATTCCAACAGACAGTATTAAGTTTTACACTTTCTTTGTTATGTTATAATAGTCTGCCAGGTTTTTTTTTTTTTTTTTCAGGTGATCAGTAAGAATTCAAAAGCAAAAGTGTTTATAAGTGTTTCTACAATAGCTTCACATTTGTACTTAACATTTTAATTAAAACTATATTAAAGTGGCTTGCTTTAAAACCTAAGCAATAAGCATTTTGCTTGAACTGCTTACTGTGTCTTTTTGCCTAAGATCATAGTGACCTTATTCAGGAAATGAAATTTATGAGTGTACTTGAAAAGACTGACACTGTTGCTAGAGAGACATTTGTAAACACTGTATGCTTTCTGCTTTTCAGGTAGAAAGATGCAATATTTTGGTAGTCCAACTAAATTCCCATTTATTCTAGATGGACTTCAGCTAGAATAAATGCTTGCTCCTCAAGGACTGTGGGACTTGGTCCCTTCCCCTCCTCCCCCCACCTTCTCCCTTTCTTTCTTCTTTTCTGTTTAACTGGCAAATCCTAAAAGCCATGCTTGGATTATGGAACTTAACTCTGGTTATTTGTACAAATTCCTTTACAGGGTCTAAGGGAAGCATTCCATATGACTTGTTTGTAATACGTCAATGTCGTGTAGCTGACAATAAGCTGGTGATGGGTTGCCCCTTACTTTCATCTGATCGTGTCAGATTTTTCCCTGTTTAGGAGAGATGCACTGGTCACTACAAAGGGAGACACTGTAACTTCACATTAAGGAAGCTGTTAAAGGAAAATAAGTAAACTATTACTTGGATCATTCCATCAAAGTACATCTAGTCAATTTAGCACTGACTTACTAAGAGAATATGAAACAGCGTTGTTTTTTTTTTTTTTTAATGATGTGTTCACAAAGGATTGAGGGACCAGTTCTTGCACTGCCCATCTTTATAGTTTTAAACAAGTTTTTGCTAAATTCAGAAGGAATGTCCTGAGTGGTTTAGGTGACTGTAGTAATTTAGATAATGGGGTCAGATGGGTAAATTAATGTGGATGTTTCAGGGATACATGTAACTTAAATTATCTATGTTCTTGCAAGGACAAAATGATATTCAGATAAGGATTTTTGAGCACAATAAATGTAAATGATCAAACTGTAAATGATCTGTCTTTGTATGATGATAAATGTATAAAAGCAGTAGCTCAGGATTACAATGTACCTTTTACAAATCAACTAATAAATAAAGATTATTATTCAAAGTTAATATTTTGTTATTTATGCATATATATAAAATAAATACAGAAGTAAAAGAATTTGTCAAAATGATGTAGAAACAACATAGGTATTGCACAACAGATGTGAGCTCTTGTTTTTCTTGCCAGATGGCAGCCTCAGGAGCGTGAGAGTAAGAACAAATTGTTTTCTTGATGTTTTAGGAAGAATGAGGAGAAAGTAAATGAAGGGTGAAACCTCTGATGGGAATATGCGCTCTGTAGCAATGGCTCATTGAGAGAATTTTTTAATATATACTTTTTCCTCATTTATTTATTTATTTTTACCTAATTATTGAGGACCACTGTGCTCATTTGCATCTTAAACATTGGGATACTCCTTCCAGCTGTTTTGCTTTTCAAAATAATGCTTGCCCTCTGCATCCAGAAATAAAGCAGGCTGGTGCTGTGCAGAAAATCATCCACTGCTTCTGTAACTTAAGAGAAAAAGCCTGGGTACAATGTTAGATTAATGAGCAAAGAATTTGAAACTTCTTGCCTGTATGAAACTGTATCTCTTATCTCCTATTTCTTTGTTTTCTCCTCACCTGTTTGAACAGATGAGAAAAATAAATGGACTACACAATCTCTGTTTTGTCTGGATCAGGATAACTGCACAGTATTGGCTACTGTTTCCTTTTGCAAAGTGAACCATTACAGTTATTTCTATAAAAGTGAAATGCACTTTATCCTTACTTTTCAACCACTTTTTTGGAACTTAAGAACTGTGATACTTAACTCTGTAAGAAAGTGATCAGCAGAACTTGCAGATATCCTACAAAGGACTTAAACAGATCTGACAGTTTTTGGAACAGACTTGTTTGGAGTCTGTCATGACATTCTGTGAGGGACTACAACTTAGTCCATTAAGTTTTCTGTACGCTTTACTCTTAGAAAAGAGTCGTTCACTGTGTATACTGTCATTTACAAACATTTTAGCTTTATTAATCACTAATTTATTTCATTGACTTCTAATGGTATTTTCCTTGACCTATTATTTTGTGTTAGGTGAGGGAGAGAGCTTTTTAAATTCATAAGGAAGGGCTTTTGCACTTCCAGGTTTTCTGTTCTCCCTTTCCTGCTTTCCCTTCTCTCCCTCCCACCAAAAAAACTTTAAAAAAATTGAATGTTGCTGACTAGGAAATACTTCAGACCCAAAAACAACTTCTTTTTTTTTTTTTTTAATTATGAACCTGCTGGTAAGTGTCTTTAATGTTTTTTTGTTTGTATCCCTATTACACATTGATTGTATTTTATTTTAAAACTGAAGAGAGTAGCATTTCTGAAAGTGTATGTAATTTGTAAGTAATTTGATTATCTGGAGGTCTTTATCACAAGTAGCACATAGAAAAAAGCTAGAGATACCAAATCCACTAGGTATGATATTCACCATGAAGTGCTTAGAGAAGTTACTGAAGCACCATTGGAAGCATTCATGCTTATTGCTGAGAAATTGATGATGAGCAATATGTGCCTTTTCCTTTTCTTTCAAACATAATGCATGTCTTTACAATTAGAGGGAAAGACAAGGTGGCACCTTTAGTATCTGTTGTGAGAAAACCCTTGTAACTGACCACAAGGACTTGGCTAACTAGTAGATGAGTAGAAGCAAATATGACTTGTCATGTTAGATCAATCTAACTGCCTTTTTGACAGTGCTTAGAACAGCAGTATTCTGCCATCTTGAAAAACATAACTTAGTAAAGTTACTCCAGGGAATGCTAAATTCAAAAGATAGTCTGATTGTTAAACTTGGAAGGATGTAGCAAATACATGTCAGCTATTTGGAACTACTCAATATTTTTGTAATGTTAGCGTGCTTGCTACATCACCTATGTTATGTCTAGCTGATAGAAAGCTGATTGAGCAAGCTGAATGACAGGATAAAAAGTCAAATTAAGTTCTTAAATTGAGGGGAAAATGCAATTAAATAAAATCAATAGAAAATTCTATGGCTAGGAAAGAATAATCAACTAATGTATCACAAATGAGCCTGGGCTAACAATGTAATGCTCACTCTTTCTGTGCCAGTATCATGCTGGGATGGGAGCACCGGCGAGGAAAGATGAAATAATCTTTCTGCTCCTCTCTGGTATTAGGAAAGCCTTAGCTGGGTTGCTCTCTAGCTTTGGATGATACATTTCAAGTAAGGTATGAACTGATTGTTTCTAATCTGGAGGACAGCAAAAGGAACTGAAGATGTCAGTCCTGTTATCTCAGCTTTTCCTTGCATGGCATGCTTTTGACAAGGACGTGTTTAAATAGGGAAAGGTGGCAGGAAATAACCAGAGAATAAAAAGTAGACATGGAAAAGCAAGAAGATAGAAATGGCAAAGGAGGCTTAGGTTAGACTGGAACTTAGGCAAAACTTTCTAACACTAAGCACAGTTGAAATGCTAGAGTAGTTTGACATGAAGTTTGAACATCTGCTGGGAATGGGATAGACCTAGCTGATCCATGGGTTGGTTGTGTCAGGAGAGGGAAAGTCACGTCACGCAACCTCATTTCCTATTGCTTTGATTTTTAAGGCCCTGCTGCTAGCTTCTGACGCCTCAACCATTGACCCAAAGTTTTGAAGCGATTACTAGATTAATTCCCAGATGCACTAAAGATTCCTGGAGTTTTTTGTTTTTCTTAGACCATCATGAAAACAATATTCCTCTAAGACAAAGCTGAGCATAAAGCATTTTTGAACAAGATACCTAGCTTTGGAACCAAATACCAGAAGACGCTATAAATACAATTACTTGCCATATACAGAACTGCAAAGTCTTTTCCTCTGTGAAGATCTCTTTACTGCATCAGTAATGTAATACTGAAACAGTATTCTTCCCTTAGATCATATCACAAGTGAAACAAAATAAAAAGCAGTAGAACAAAAGCCTGAACTTCAAAACTAGTAGAGTTTTGGTTTGTAATGCTCACAACCTTGTTTTTCAGAGGCCTCAAAGGTCAATGAGGATTTCAATGACTTTCTTTTTTTCTTCATGAAAAACGTACGGATAAGACAATGATGAGTAATGACTTTGTTTGGTTTCCATGAACCTATTTCTTTTTTACTTCTGAGTTATAAAAGTCACTAATTTTGGAAGTTATCTTACTATTTCACATTTTTGTTCAAAAAGTAATACACAATTGCCTCGTCTGTTTAGCAGTAGTTTGTAACAGCTTTTTTGAACCGCTGACAATTTCAAGCACAGAGAAATGAAAGAAACCTTTAAAAAGGGCAGCTCTGTAGAAAAGAGCTGCAGCTTAGCACACCTGCTGAGTGACAGGTTACAGAGCAAGCTCAACAGTTACTGATGGCTTGCCTTGTGCCCTGGCCAGTAAACAAGTGCCAGCTGGGCAACAGCACAGCTCGGGACCGCTGTCGTCAGCCTTCGTGGGTCACCGTGACCCCTGTGGATACATGACTGTGGCCTTTGGAGGGAAACGCAGGGTAAGGTCGGGGCAGGGCAGCATCACAATAAAAAGAACATGAGTTTGTATGAAAGCAAGCTCCATCTATTTAATTGCTTGTGAAGCAAACTGGCCATTTCTTTATGCTTTCCAACATTTCAGTTAAACCATCTTACTTTCCTACTTGTGATGTAGGAAGTAGTGTGTGATTTAGACTTACAATGTCAGGAACTGAGGTCTCCCTTTCAAATAACGTGGAGAAACAGATCAGTGTTAAGAAGTGAGTATCTTTTACTACTTGCAATAGAAAATTGCAACCATAACATGTAGTATAACGGATAAGTTTTGAGAGCTGGACTCTATAATAAATCCTCTCTTAATGCCAAAGATTATTTTCTTTCTAATGGAGTTACAAAATACATTGGCCTCAGTAGACAAATCAGATTAGAATGTTCTCAATTCCTCAGCTTTGCCGTTTAGTCTATCTCTATACCATGTTTCAGCAGCAACGCTGTGCTGCCAGAAGAATCTGAGGGATAGCATTGTACACGGATCACTGAAAAAATCCTAGTTAAAAATAGCCCTTGGGGGGGGGGTGCCTCTTTAATCCATATTTTTTTCAATGATTTTATTGGCCCATTTGATGAGCAGCAGGTTCCATGAACGTAGAGGAACAAAAGGCTGGGGGATCATGAAGACAAAGGGAGAAGGGAACCAATTCAAGATGTTTGCAAAATGTTGTTATGGTCGTTTGACCTAACAAGAAAAGAATATCTAGGCTCACTGTTTCTTACAGATATACTCACAAAGGGCTTTTATTTCAGAACAATAAACCTACTTGTTAGCTTGACTAACTAACAAATCATCGTATGTTACACTTCGTGGGAAGCTGGAAAAACCTACCAGGGTGGTATTGCGGTATCGCTTTCTCTGCTTTTATATCCTACTGCAGGCATTCCCTTTTGGCTGCTTTTGGAAACAGGACACTGGGCTAAACAGATCTTTGATCTGAGCCAGTATGGCTGTTTTTATGGATCTCTTTTAATGATGAGATTATTAGCAAGAAGTATGTTCAGCTAAATTTTGTGAACAAACGTATGATAGTGTGTGGCATGGAAATTGCTGATCCTGGTGAAGGGTCGTATATCGTTGCAATCAGTTACTTAAAAGGTTATCAAATGGTTTCATTAAGATCATTTATTATTAACGATGGCTATAAAATAAAACTAGATGATAAGCATAGGTTCACAAGGACAGCTGCAGACTGTGGCTTTATCCAAAAAAATGTATTTTGTAATGGAGAAACAACTATTTATTTCAAAGTAAATATAATATTCTTTTGCATAGCTTTGTATCAATTTGAAATTACATAGTTATAGAGCCAATTTATTAAAATTTAAGTGTGTTGCTCGATTTCTTTTTTTTTTTTTAAGGAGGCTGAGCAAAGAAAATGAGGTTAGGAAAAGACCTGTGATGCTATGGTTCTTATTTCTTTTAAAGTATTTACTAGAGAAAATGATGTGGCTGCTGGAATTTCAAAACTGATTTGAGCAAGAACTATGTGAAAAAGAGGTTGCTAATTAGGCTTACAGGT